CTCTGTTACAAGGACGATCACTCCTATAACAAAAATAACTTGGTATTTGTATAGCTTCTGTGGAAACAATAGGCTTTAACCAAGTTTCTGCCACGCCAAAAATGCCAAGATTATTACCCTCTAAAATATTTCTCAATTCATGGATTTTAAAAAGTATTCTTACTCAAATTATAACTTCTGAGATTTACATGACCTACTTTAAGATTGTTTCTAAAATTGCATAACTGACTTCTAAAGAAAACTATTATCTTATAAAAAAACAACTATTTATTAGTGGGGAATGTATGGCATTGTTTTCTTCCTTATATATAATATGAGTAGATGATTAAGTTAAAAAATATATTTTTTAATATATATCATGTGTTCGCATGTTAAATTGGTATATGTGTATTAGAAAATATATGGAAAGGCATTACTAATCGTGAAAAGGTATTAAAACTAAAGACAATATTTTAAATTCATTAAGGTCACAAAAATGTATAACTTCATTACTCTTAATAATCTGTATTTGAAATCTAACCTTTTATTTTTAGATTTTTTAGTTATGTGAGCAGCATTTACTTTAGATTTATGTATAGACATAAGAGCGTGGGTTTGCATTTGATTTTTCACATATCACCATAAATAGGGTAAAAATGTCTACCTCAGGAAAAAATTCGAAAAATCTGTTTGTTTTTACCAGAATTTCAATTTCAATTTATTTCATAAACGAGAATCTAGCCCAAAGGGCCAAAAGCGATTCAAAAAACAACAAAATATAAACTACTCCAAAAGCTTCAAACTAACAGTGTATTAGCTTAATGTTATCTTAACGACTATTCAGTTGGAGGGGTTCAGAACCATTGTACTTCAAAAACATTTTTATTATTATTATTCCATTATTTGATGCAGCGACCTATCACATAGGGCAAAGGACTTCAATATTATATCTACTCTCAACCACTAAATTCAATTTACAGGTTCAAATATCTTATTATTATATCACAATTATCAATTAAAAAAAATAAAAAAATATAATATATTATAGTTAAATTTATTTAAATGTTGAAGTCAGTTATGCAATAAAAACACAAACAAATAAGCAAAACCTATGAATTTAAGATGAATTGAGGTTGAAGTAATCGTATAAATGAGTTCGATAACATTTTAAGGAAGAGTTAAATGTTTTAAGAGAAGGCGGTAAGGTGTTAAAAATTCTAGAAATTCGTACAAAAAAGGCTTTTTCCAATAAAGGACACAAACGCGGAACAAGTATTTGTATGTTTCTAACAGATCTAGAAAACATAAACAAATCAACTACAGAGGAAGGAGTCTGCAACTTAAATACCTTATAGAACAACAACATTGACCTTAAACTCACAAAACTTTCAAAGGTACAACCGAGGAACTCTTTAACGTAAGGAGAAATGTGATCACGACGTTTAACACAATATACATATCGCATAACCCTATGGAACAATAGTTTAATTTTACGTAAAACATATCCACAACAACCCCCAAAAATCTCAATACAATACAAAAAATTTGGCATAATCAATGCATGGGCCAATTGAATTCTAATGCTCTTAGGAGGAGCCATATCCAAAGAGTACAACTTTCTTAAAATAAAGTTTACCTTGGACACCAAAGAATTAACATGCACATCAAACACCAAACTACTATCAAGAAACAAACCAAGACATTTCATAGAGCTTACAACATTTATAGAATTATTATAAATGGAAACATTTACTGAATTCTCTTGCAAGTTCCCAAAAAACATAACTTTACTCTTACGTGTATTAATTGAGAGTCCTTTTGCAGATAACCACGTTACTAACACATTGATATTAAAATGTATAGAGGACTGCAAAACATCTAAAAACACATATTCTCCTTTAAACAAAATCTGCAAGTCATCAGCAAATGCAAATGACATGCAGCTCCTACTACTAATACAACTTAGCAAATCATTAACATACATAACAAACAATAGAGGCCCAAGTACAGACCCCTGGGGTACACCACTACTCACAGGGAGCATTCCAGAAACAACATTCCTACAACAAACATACTGCTTCCTTCCAAACAAATACGACGAAATAAGCTTACAAGCTGAGGACGAAAAATTGAACAAACGATGCAATTTTCTTATTAAATTAGCGTGATTAATTTTGTCAAAGGCTTTCTCTAAGTCTACTGACAACAACACACAACAACCTCCCGTACCAACAGTCTTCCTTATATTGTCAGTCAATCCAACGAGAAGAGATGCAGTGCCGCGATTACTCCTAAACCCATACTGGCTCTCATGTAATAGAGAATTTTCACCAATATAAACTAGCATTTGATCTTTCATGACATACTCAACCATTTTAGAAAGAATCGGCATTATAGATATAGGCCTATATTCACTAGAATCACCATTCTTTTTTTGAATTGGCACTATTTTTGCAATTTTCCACATCTCTGGAAACACAGACATTGTTAACATAGAATTGACAACGTGCAACAAAAATTGACCAACAAGGGGGAAAACAAGTTTTAGAAATTTTAGCTGAAATCCATCATAACCAGAATAATCAATTGCACGAAAGGAAAAACCATCAAAAGCATCAACAGGAATACAAGAAACATCAAAAACATCTACGGATTGATTCGAAACAAAAGCTGAATTCAGAGCCTCAACATCAACATTCCCGACTTCTCTGTCATCAGTACACAAACCGTTTTTATTTAAAATTGACCACACTTCCTTTGTGGATTTATTAGCAAACATATCCCTATGAGCAATAAATTTTAGTTTTCTTATAGTTTTTTTTGGCTCGGTTACGACAGCGACAAAACAATTTCCAATTTTCAACACTTTTGTCCCGAAGATAGGACCTATAAGAAATGTCACGAAGAGACAAGTGATACCGAATTTCAGCAGACTTAAACCAGTCATCTTTATTAATTTTACAAAATCTCCTTTTGACAGGAACTACACTATACAAGTGCCGAAGACCACAGTTCAATATATCAAGCTGGGCATCAACATCTGCCACAGAATAAAGCTCACCAAAGTTATATGTATTAAAGGCGCTGGAAAGCGCCACAGGATCAACAGAACTGAAATCTGCATATTCATAAAAACTCTGCACACAAAAACTGGGAACATTAATTGATAGAAAGATGAACGAGTGATCAGAAATACCAGGGCACAAAAACTGATTTGAACATACTACCAAACTCAGACACGACACAAAAAAATAATCCAACAAAGAAGTAGAGGTATGCGCAATATCGACGTGTGTGGGATTGAGTTGTGGACAACAGATAAATTTAATCTGCTACAAATTTCCCTTACAACTAAACTTCGCTGCAGATCAAACATATTATTATTGAAATCTCCCATAATAATAACATTTGAGTACCTAACAACAAGATCAGAAATTTCATTTTCAAAAGCCACAATATCGCCATGTGGCAAATAAACCACACCAACAAGAAACACACAATTGCTTACAATTACCTCGCAGAAAATATATTCAACAACTCCATAAGAACTTCCTCTGCACACAAATTTATGTTTAATATTCTGAGAAACATACATTACAACACCACCTCCTCTGTTACAAGGACGATCACTCCTATAACAAAAATAACTTGGTATTTGTATAGCTTCTGTGGAAACAATAGGCTTTAACCAAGTTTCTGCCACGCCAAAAATGCCAAGATTATTACCCTCTAAAATATTTCTCAATTCATGGATTTTAAAAGTATTCTTACTCAAATTATAACTTCTGAGATTTACATGACCTACTTTAAGATTGTTTCTAAAATTGCATAACTGACTTCTAAGAAAACTATTATCGCTAACAATATTACCTAAACTAGTTGAAAAATTCATTATCTGACCGTATAATTTAAATGAGCGTAAGAAACAAAATTAAATCCAGGAAAAAAAATAAAATTAATAAATAATAAATAAATAATTCAACTACTCACACAACCTTCACTTATGAACTACCAACGATACTTTGAAAAAGTCACAACCCTTTATGTTTAATCATTAATAGTAAAAGTAATTTGGAGTAGTTCAAATTTAGATAAAAACACAACTCATTTTTATATATAATTTTCCATTCCATTCCTACTGGAGTAGTCATAATCCAATTAATCAAATTTTTTTAATCATAACCTATAATAATCAAAAACTTTTTTTTTTTTTTTTATTTTATCGGTATAATATTCTTTAGTAGTTCAATATCCCTCCCTTTTACATTTAAGCCGCTTAATACGATAAAATTAATATTTAATTGTGAAATGTAGCTTACAGCCTTAAGGTCGAAAGACTGGGCACTATGAAATATATAAATAAAATAAAATAAAAATAATACCATAGCATTCATGATCGCGAACGTGTTTAAATATTACCATGTCTCTGTAATACACGTTTTCCTAAAAATTTTGTTATACTATGTAGTATATGTATTATTATACTATGTGGTTTTGCCTTTTTGATTGTGTCATGACATCGCATATTCATATTTTAGTACGATTGTACTTTTTCTCCATCGATCCGGTTTGATCCTTAATGGATCTAACAAGGAATGTAAAAATTATTTTGCTATGTATTTTAAAATCCAATCCAAGTCAAACAACTTCAAACCAGCTTTAAACAAAAATCTTTGCTATTATAAATATATACTTTATTTAGTAAGTATTTTACATAACTCTGGGAGGTGTAGCTTGCTGCTGCAACGTTGTTGCAACTATAGCAGCTTGAGTCTTCTTCAAATTGAAAACTTTTTGAGCAACTATTGGATGTGTACAGGTATTAAGGAGAGTTCTTGCCATTTCCAATTCCCCTTGCAATGTTAATGCCACGGCCAAGTTATAACGAACGACATTCTGCGCTGCATCTAAAGATTTGACCTGCCAATCTTTTGTCTCAAAATCGAACGTATTTAAGTTAGAAACAAAGGTGGGTTCCAAATGTGGCCTTGCATCGGTTAAATTGTCCATCATTATAAATGCTTCGCCAGCATACATATGTGCAAGCATTCTAGAACATGTAAGGATTAATTGTCACTAGTGATGGATTTTGTATTTACATGGACTTACTTATGTGCATCTGAAAGATTTTCCATTTTCAATAATTCTTCGGCCATCTCTAAAGCCGTAACATAATCACCCAGTCGCAAGCACACATAACTATAGGCTGCGTATATGGACGACAGCATTATGTCGAACGATTCCTTTGTTACGGGCCCCGACGGACTGCAAAAACTATTATCTCTAGACTTTTGCCATACCGGTTCCTCGCTTTCCGTGGATTCATTCATTTCTTCAGAAGATGGGGTCGTGTAAAGCTGAGTCATATAAAAGTGTGTTAACGTTAAAGCATTTCGTAAGCTTAAAGCAGCGAAGGGCATTGTTGGTTCCGGTACCGCTGCTGATTGGCTACTTTGCCTTCAATATGTAAAAAATATGTTATATATATTAAATAAAATGTAGTATCTACTTACGAATAATCTATCCTGTTGGAAAATAATGATCTCGTTTCTGTTCGTATTTTGGCTTTTTCATCAATGGACCTTTTCTAAAATAGAATAAAGTATTATAATGGCATGCAAATGGATGTTATTAAATTACCATTTCGTATTCCATTATACACGCTTCCGATATTCTAAACCATAACCGCGGATTACTATGGTATGTCTTCAAAGGGACCAAGAAACACTGAAATGCTTCTTTCGGTCTTCTTAAATGCAACATCGCAATGCCCAGGTTGTACAAAATTTCACATGATTTGGCTGAGCCCATATCGTGTAATTCTGCAAAGCGTAAGTTCGACGCAATGTGCTTATCGAAATTAATGGCATTTTGGAAAAAGTTTGCGGCAATAGCATAGTGGCGTACTCGTAAGTGTATCACGCCCATGTTATTAGCTATGAGTGTATTTAATTCGTGATTGTAAATGCTGTAAATGAAGTTTATTGTTATGGAATATGGAACAACATGGCAAACTTAAAATGCCTCACCCGTCCATGTAGGAATCCACATTGATTTTTTTCAATTGTTTAGCGGCCATTTGGAAGTCTTTCATTATATAATATTGATGGGCCTTGAGAGCCGCAAACTCCGCCGACTGAAATATGTATAAGTATATTGACCACAACATCTTAAATAACAACTTAAATTTCCACTAACTTACACCATCTTCCGGAACTTGAACAATTTTTCGATTAACCACATGTGTCAACAGCGACAATAATTTCAAGGGTTTATTGAACTTTTCTTCAAGTCTTGGTGTAGATTCTTGAACGTTGCCGTCATCTGCTGCTAAGGGTGCAATGTTTATACTCAAATGCCGCGATATCTCTTCCAGGAATAAATACGCTTTCTGTGGTTGATTTGTAGCCAATAGCAGACGTAGCATGAGTACACCCACCATGGCTATGGTGTTGGCATCATACGCATCGATTTTATCAACGACCGGCTTCAGAGTATACAAAGCCGTTTGGTACATGTGTCGATGATAGTATATAACTCCCATATTATACAATGGAACTGGGGAAGGTGGAGTGTTAGAGGTCGTTGCTGATGAATTTCGGCTTTTCTGCAACGTATTGAGAAAACAATGAAATCATAAAACATGCATTATTACATGATAACTAAATCTCAGCAAAGTGGTTACTGGGACCAGACCGTTGAAGACTGGAGCAACCCTTTCACGAAATAACTTCTCTAACAATCGGGTCATGCGAATTACTTTCAGACCTACTAAATGAAATCAAATCTAATACAGAGGATGGAAAAATAGATAATTAGTGATCAAACGAACTACCAAAGAATCGTTTAACATATTCCCAAGATTCTTGCTCAGGAAACCTAATATCTATGTTTATATCGTATTTATAGATTATGAAGAACTGGAGGACTCGTTATGCCGAACTAGATCACTACATTTTTGAACTGAATTGTTTAATCAGCAAGTTAAACTTAAATGTATAACCTTGAAAAGGTAACACCAACTAGACCTCATGCAGTATAGGTAACTTGTACCGTTTATAAACAAAAAAAATATTTTTTCAACTCCTACTCCTACATTAGTCCATGTGCACGATTTTTTTACCTCAAAGGTTGAATGAATGTATTTAAATGGACGTTACCCAAACACGCATCCGCAGAGCTAATTCTTTAGAATCGCACCTAGTTTTATGCGTATTTATATGATATAATTCACCTTAAAAGATTACTCAAATATGCATCAAACATTTTAAAGACAGATCCAGGAAAGTTTTTTTAGCTTTGTAACAATAAATTAAAAATAGTTTATACCTCATTCGTACTTAGGTCCTTTAGTGACTTCAACAAATCCACGTATCCCTTGCATTTGCCCTTGTAGAATTTGGCTACCATTTGATTATGTTGAATTTTGAGGTCTTTTCCTTTTAAGCTCTCCAGTTGCTCCAAAATTCCGATGCATTCATCATAGTTTCCCCTGCGAAAAGAAAATACTGTGTTTAACGAAGAAGATGTGAGACACCTGGTAACTGTATACATATCAAACTCATCACTAGCTTTTGTTAGCAGTCGGTAATCATGAGCCTCGGAAGCCCCAGCAATATCCGCAGAGTCTGACATTTCCATTCTTATAGGTTGAAGAATATATCTGTTAAATCTTTATAAAACAAAACAATCCGAATGAACTATCAAGTGTAGGGATACCTAAGTCGACTTTCAACTAATCGATTAATCGAAATTTTATATAAAAATATTAAAGGACCCACACACGATATTCCATGCTGTTAAATGGCTAAGCAGAATGTTCGCCTTTAGCCATCTCATGATGCAATAATAAGGTGATGTATCAAAATAAAAACCTTTGTTTTTGTCTCGTTCATCTGACAAATTTTTCCCTATAATATCGCATTGAATTCAAGTAGAAATTACGCACTTTGACAGTTAATCGAGGCATCAGCTGCTCAAAATGGACTACCTATTTATTGTACCATGAGCCATCCGTTGCGTTATGTGTTATCGAAAATACAAGAACCACAAGGAAATGATAACACAAACGGTCGAAGTTGATGTGCGCTGCGCTTGAGTGTTAAGGGCTAAGCAGAATGCTCGCGTTGAGCCATCCGTTGCGTTATGTGTTATCGAAAATACAACAACCACAAGGAAACGAAAACACAAAGTTGTTGTGCGCTGCGCTTCGGAGTTAAATATATTTTAACTTTTTGTGTGCGTTAACGCGATAACAAAAAACGCTCAACGCGAACATTCTGTTTAGCCCTTTAGAAAATAATTTTAATAAATATTTAACATAAACAAATTGCAATATGATCAATACCACGAATAGCAGGGAGCGCAAAAATTCGCTCGCGAATGAATTAAAAAACATTATTTTCGTTTTGTGCTCATTTTAAAAATTAATTTATGGCGATAAATTCTTTACCAAATGAGCATTCGCCAAAGAATATTCGCACATACATAACAAACGAGTGAGAGCACACAACAACGTTCATTCGTTTCGTTTGGTGCTTGAAATTCTTTCTGACATTCTCTCATGAATGAAAACCAACATTCCCGAATTCTCGCAAATGTTCAAAAAAGGAACAACAGTAACAACAAACGTTCGTGAACTCAATAGTTGTTGGACATGTGTTTTGTTATTCCACACACTTTCTGCTACTCACACATCCATTTGTTGTGTGTGTTGACTTTTTTATGATATTTTTGTTTGTGGTTGTTTTTAACAGTGCTCGCGTGCATTCGCGAACATTTGTTTTTTGAGTTTTTCAAAAGAATATTCTTCAGCAACAAATGATCGCGAATTTTTCTTACCTTATCATTCGCTATAAATTGAAAACGTTCGAATTCTCGCCCGTGAGCATTCGTGAAAAAGAGTGTATTTTAATCATTCTCCGCACCCTGACGAATAATAAAGAATCATTTACATGATCCCGTACAGATAATCCCAACTAGCAAAATTCCTTCAAAAACAAATAGCTTCCAGAATCGAATAATCGCCAACAATGTATTTTATTTATTTATACAGTCGAATTCGGTTAAGGGGACCCCACCCATTCTCGGTTTCAAAAAACTTAATTTTTATTTTGATTTAACTTGAACCTACACTAATTCAAGGATGTCCCTATAAATTTTCAAGTGAAAATCTCCACAATTTTTGAAGATATAGCCGATTTATTGTGTTAGCATCAGGTGGCAGCCACAGGGCGTTTTTGCGAATGGCGGGCACGATAACTTAAAAACTAGAAACCCAATTGATTTCAAATTTTGGGACGTTTCTCTGTGAGTGCATAACTTCCTTATTTTTTAACATAGTTTGTGGTCAAAAATAGGCGATTAAAAAAAAATTCAAAGTTCCGCCATTTTATTAATTGTTGTGCGAAGTCAATAATCCTAGTTCATACGAGAGCCAGACATGCACTCTTTCTAACACCGTTGGAATTTTCGGTTTCCGATGTGAGGAGTTATCATGCCCGCCATCAAAAGTAAGAACATATCTTTGATAAAAACAAAAAAAAAAAAAAATTGTAAATTATTTTTCTTCCTTTTTAAATCGTCAAATATATATGTGCAAAGTTATAAAACCTTAACATGCATTGGTATTCATTTACCAGCTCATTTAAAATCTTAAAAATAACAAATCGTGAATTGGGGGGTTCCCGTAAGGGAAAACACGACATTTCGGTAATTTTTCCTCTTATGCAGAATTTTCAATTAAAGGGACTTCGGAAATCGATTTTCGACTTTTACCGACGAATGCAAAATCGACTAAAATTTTGATTTTTTTTTTTAAATTGTTGTCAAACGAAAAAATAAATGGTCTGTTCCCGTACTGCAAGAATCTACTACTTTTTACTACGATAACAAATTTTCCCTTATGATATCGAAGAAAATAGTAAAATCTAGTAGATTCTTGCAGTACGGGAACAGACTAAAAGTTCAAGAATGTGTAATGTTTATGCAATTTGGGCTTTGTGATAATAAACCAGGTTTTATGAAGAGAATCGAAACTCGATCTGGAAAGTCGACTTTACGATTTCCCTATTGATCTAAAGACTTTTCAATACAAAAATTCGATTAATCGATTAGTCGAAAGTCGACTTACTTATCCCTGAGATTTTCTTGATTTGCTGTTTGTCATAGTATAATTAAATTTGGTAAATTTGGAGATATTTCAATAAAATTACCATCCTAATTTGTGGCGAGGGATTTAAAAAACACAAATACATTTCTCCTTGGCTATTAAGCGGAATATAGAGTAAGAATTATATACGAGTAAATTGTCCAATCAAGAATTGAAATTTCTGGAAAAACAAGTATTGGGACAAATCAAGTCAATAACATGAAACTTGTAAAAACTACTCATTGTTGTTGTATTTTATTGCTCTTAGCAAAACAAAAGAGGGTCTCGAAAATATCACCGATATGATGGTGGAATCAGATGGAACAACAGACGCAACCCGCCGCCTTAATGTAAAGAAGCAAACCCTAGATGATGCTTACGCTGTTCCCGCAAATTTCCTGGAAATCGATGTGGTCAATCCACAAACATCTATGACGGCGGGAAAAAAACGTTATACAGATTACGAGGTCAAAATGAGGGTAAGTTGTATGTTGTAGAATTAATCCCTTTCTCATGATCAATGGGGGTTCTATGTTAATAAGAGGAGTGGCTGGTAGTAAATTAATAAATGTATGAGACATACACTTAGCTTTTACATATAAATGGGGCGTAAATGTTGATAAATTGAGAATGGATTGTCCATTTCAAATTGTGACTTATACTGGCAAAGCCTAAAATATTTCCTGATAACGAAATTGCTTTATTCTGGCCGGCGTTTGCACTGTATTCGATGTGTACATTATACTGGTGTATATCAGAATATATAAATGTAATGAAACGATTGATGTATTAGTCATCATTACTGACCAGAGTATGTTTACCGAATGTGCGTGTGAGATCAGAATTTTATAGAGAACTAGCATATATGTAGGAAATATTTAATAATGTATTAACATATTATTTTATTTTTAGATAAAACTGCATATGTCTGATAAAAACAATCCACACATTAATATCGACCATAACTTAAATTTGAGTACCATTTAGTACCAAATTTCATGATTCGAGCTCTAAAGGTTCACCCAAATCCACATTTTAACAAAATTTCCATTTAGCACACATTATTTCCATAAGTATCCACCTCAACCAATGATTCCAAATTCGAATTTCAGGATTCTAACTCTATTAATTCACCCACAATTGAAATTGTACCGAATTTAGTAGTAAAGTCTATTGGTCTATTGGTTCACCTAAAATTCAAATTGTACCAAATTTAGTACCATTTAGTACCCATAAGTATTATTTTCGTAAACTGAATCCTGACCCCAATCCCACACACCCTCAGTGATCCTGACTCCAAATTTCACTCCGACGGTAACTCCGACGGCAATTTTAATTTCAAATTCCAACTCGATTTGTACCTCCAAATCAAATTTGTACCAAATATAGTACCATACAGTACTTTCCGTACACATGAGTACACGCTTTCCAAACTCTGCTCATATCGACCCTAATTCTCTACCTTAATTTGCATTCGAATTTGCAAAAGGTCCTTTGCTACATCTATTCTACACTCCATCAGTGACCCTCAATCCAAATTTCAGATTTCTAGCTCTACTGGTTCGCCAAATACAAATGATACCATATTTAGTACTTTTCGTACGGTTCTAGTACGAATTTCCAAAAACCCAGCCTTATCTGTCACCTTTGGACCAAGAGTGACACTCACCCAAAATTTCAAGATTCTAGCTTCAGTCGTTTCGTCTGGTCGTTGATGAATCGTTAAATCAGTCAGTCAATAACTTTACTCTTTTATTAGTATAGATTAAATTTGTACCAAATAAAGTACTTTTCATACACATGAGTAAGCGCATTCAAAACCATCTCCTTAAATGTACCCTACATCTGAACCCTAATTCACACTCCAAATTTCAAGTTTTTAACGCTACCCGTTCACATGCTACAGAATTGTACCAAATTTAGTACATTTTCGTACTTTTCGGATAGTTATAGTTCGAATTCCCTTTGGTACATCTATCCTACATTCCATCAACGACCACCAAACCAAATTTCAGAGTTCTAGCTCCACTGGTTCGCCAAATACAAATGGTATCACATTTAGTACTTTTCGTACCGTTCTAGTACGAATTTCCAAAAACCCAGCCTTATCTGTCACCTTTGGACCAAGGGTGACCACCCAAAATTTCAAGATTCTAGCTTCAGCTGTTTCGTCTGGGCGTTGATGAATCGTTAAATCAGTCAGTCAGTTAATCACTTTACTCTTTTATTAGTATAGATTAGTACCTTTTAGTACTTTTCGTACCGTTACAGTACGAATTTCCAAAAACCCAGCCTTATCTGTCACGTTTGGACCAAGGGTGACCTTCACCCAAAATTTCAAGATTCTAGCTTCAGCCGTTTCGTCTGGGCGTTGATGAATTGTTAAATCAGTCAGTCAGTCAATCACTTTACTCTTTTATTAGTATAGATGAATTGGATAAACAATTTAAAAATTTATTATTTTGTTTACAATCTGTATGAATATGTCACACTAGTTGTATAAGCTGATAAAGGGCAATGATAAACGCAATTGCATATATTGGGTCAGACCTAGCGTATGTGTTGTCATTTAACGAATTTATTATGACTGTTCCTTGTTCATTAAGTTGTTTGTAACATTTGGTAGTAACTGATGCTTACAATTATTCACAACATTCCAAATTCACAAAATAACAGTTGAAGTTTAAACACCGTTCACGCACTTGGTCCCTGATTACAATGATGAATTCAAAATCCTTAAACATTCCGTAGGTTTATTTCTATTTTCTCATTAAATTGAATGACGCCAGAAGCTGTAATAATGAACGTCCTGGGTGCAAATTATGACAGTCGATATGGAGTTATTTGCCAGGGCAATTTAATATCAGTTTTAATAATTTGTTTTGTGCAATCTGTAATTTTTTTATATGGTTATTGGCTAACTACGTTTCCGTGAAAAGTACATTGCTTTCGTTTTTTCGGTTTTACAATAATTTCCCATTTTTTAAAATAATCGTTGATTTCAACCAGAGCTTTGCACGATTTTGATGAAATGAAGGGGAAATCCAAATTTATTCATCTTGAATATCAAGGCGTTATGCCATACTCCATCGAACACAGCTTTAATATCTAATAACAGCATGCCTGTAGATTCCGAAACGAGAGGATGGCAAGTGTTAAGATGTCTTCTAAACCCATATTGTTGTTGTGGCAATATATTGTGCTCCTCAATAAAATCGTTTAATTTTCTTAAAGAATTTTCTTAAAAATTTTGTTGACAGATGACAGTAAGCCAATTGGTCTGTATGATTTTGGATCATCATAAGACTTATTAATTTTGTAATGTAATGATTTTTTGTTAACAATAAATATCAAAATCCTTTTTTGTAATAAAAAGTTTTGTATAGATTTTAGATGATATATTGAAGACCAATAGGTCTTTCGCTGTGGTTCTTGCAGAAATAGGTTCTGAATATACCCACAAACATATTCCATCATTCATAATTCATTTGCCTTCTTTGATATGCTGTATTTAGCCGCATATGTTGGATTCTTTTCAAATTTGTATAGAGGCAAAAAGCTTTTTTGACTTACTATATATACCAAAAGTTGTGAATTCTTTACTGGCTTATTAGCACGGAGTTTACACATGCAACTTTTTAGGCAACTCTGCTGCTGCTACTTTCAATCCTCCTTGAATATCTTCCCGCATTACACTTTTCTTACTTCCCTCTCCTAGGAGTTGCACATAAAAGTTGATTGTGTAAACCCACATTAAAGAGACATTATTTTATTTTCAGACAAATCTTCCTGTTTTTAAAGTAAAAGATTCGAGTGTAAGACGTCGTTATAGTGACTTTGAATGGTTAAGAAACGAGCTGGAACGTGATAGCAAAGTGAGTAGTTGAATTCTCTTTCAATAATATATACTTTACCATATGTTTTGTTTTTCTATAGATTGTTGTACCTCCTTTACCTGGTAAAGCTTGGAAAAGGCAAATGCCATTCCGAAATGATGAAGGCATTTTCGACGAAAATTTTATTGAAGAGCGACGCAAAGGTTTGGAAGCGTTTATCAATAAAATCGCGGGCCATCCCTTGGCCCAAAATGAGAGGTGTTTACACATGTTTTTACAAGAAACTACAATCGACAAAAATTATGTTCCCGGTAAAATACGCAATACTTAAAAGGATTCAGAATGTAAAAAAATGAATAAAAAATATAGAAACAACTTTACAATAAACTAGCAAAGAGTAAAATGTTATGTTTTTAAGAAAAAATAATTGAGGAGATGACACTTTGTATTCTTGGCGAAGTCATTGATCTTTACCGCGCTCAGCAACAATGGTGGAATTAATAATGTAATCGAACAATTAAGAATAATCATATTTCCATTATTTTCTTTTAATTTAAGGTATTCTATTTTATATATTTTCGAATTCCAATGTTATAAAATCAGTCTAAGATAATTGTCTTGAAAAATATATTAATTATACAACAAGTTTCCATGTAGTTTATTTTCAATATATATTAAGTCTGTGTATTCGATGTGTTGTCTTTTTAGACATGCGGAACTCACGGTGTGTTCTTTACACATCATACATACACTTTACTTCAGAAGTTACCTCCTGTTTTGATTCTCACGTGAATTGAAATTTTCGAACTGCGACAAAAATAAACGTCGACATGTTAATTTGCAGAAATAGTGTTGCGATACAATATAAACTGTATTCGTTTTTAACATTGTTTATGTCATTTTTTAGTAATTTCATTAATTCTGGCGATAATTTTATTATTAGTTTTTAATATTTTATTATTCGCAACATAAAATATATGTGTGAAAGACTCTGTAATATCATCAATTTGTCGATTGATTTAAGAGGAACTTTTAAACCTATCTTCTTCGGTCATTCTTCAAAATTTTGCCATTTTAAACAAATTATACGCAATTATACTACCATCACGTGCATTTTTTATTTTAAAAAAATCTTTTATATAGAAAAACATGATTACAGCCGACTTCAAACGGGTGTTAAGTGTGTTATAGAACAGCTCGACGTGTGTTCGATACACTTCTGCCGTTGAATTAAATGCCAGAACATTACCGAAAATTTATTTAAAAAAATGTTCGCTTTTTTGCAACAAAGCCTAAAAGGCCATTGATAGATACACAATACAACAATTATTTAAGCTCCTCTTACATTTATCATGTCAATTCTTATTCTGGATGTCAATTCCACGTAAATTTACTCGCTCTTCCCGTTCGATTTATTTTGATCAACATTTCACAGTGAATTTTTGTCGCAATCTCGCTTTCGCTTTTAAGGTTTTATTCAACGATACTGTCTCACAGATTCCGTTGAACTCTTAAATGGGTATTTTTTACTGCTATGACAATATGTTGATCTGGAGGATCTGATTTATTCGTGGAATATTTCTCCGAAATCATTTTCTGTGATAAATTGTTCTCACAATCACTGGTAATTAGCTGTTTTATCGGAGTAATGTATTTGTTTCTATCCATTTTCATATTTTTTGGCAGTAAGTAAAATCCATTTAAAAATGATCTATAAGAATCGAAATATGTGTAGAAACCAAAACATAGTATTTGCATAGTAGAAACCAAAACTGTATGTGCTGTATGTAGAGTTGCTTAGGTTTTGTCCAGGCAAAAATTGAAACGATTCCTTTATCCATAAATAATAATAAGTAATTTTGCATTAATGCTTTGTTTTTTTTAGTTGAATAAAATGCAAGATACAAGATATTTTTATTTTTGAAAAGTTATTTTTAAAAGAATTTAATTGTTTAAGTTTTGGCCACCAGTGTATGTTGCCATTTTCTCTATGACAGCAGGATCATCGTTGTAAATTTAGTTTCATTTTTATTGATCTCTGAGAGTTATTTTGTACTTCGGTATCCAGTCAAACCTTCGCCATTGATCTAAACGGAGATTATACAATTGTCTGTCTATTTCATCGTATTTTATCGTCCGTAATATAACATATCAGTTTAATTAAATTGTCTAACTTTATTTTTTCATATCAATTGGTTTATCAAAAAAAATTTTTTTTTTTGCTTAATGATAACAATTACTAAATAATTCTTATATTGTAAACAATGGAGGATCTATTCATCCACGTTAATGAATGCTTGAAGAGCAACAATATCTTAACCTAACAAAGTGCTACATACATAATTATCTTAGAATACGTTCTATACATAAAAACAAAATTAGCAGTAAATTCTCTTAGTGTTATTCTAGCCTTTCTTCAAAAGGCCCAAGAGACATTTTTGAATGGAGAACCCTTAGCTTGAAACCCAGAGAAAAACATAGAAAAGGATGGTTGCGACTTGAGGCTTGGTAGGCACGCGACGGCATCACAACATCGCGAAACCCCGAAAATGTGATGTGATGACAAACAAAGTTGTAAATTGACTTAATCCCGTTTAAGAGCTGCCTTTCTGTCTGTTTCCTTTTTGAGAGATTCCCTCTTCTGCTCCTTGTTGTAGTTTTTCACATAGAACGAACTGAACATGTAGGTGAAGAGGCCAGCGTTGAATGTCAGCAAAGCAGCAATGGGCTTGGGGAAGTTGCAGTTGGGTTGGAATTGAACTTGGAGAGTGTGTACAAAAATGATCAAAAATTGAACCTAAGAAGGGGGAAATTGACGTGTTACAATTGATTCATAGGTCCGTTCATTGCTCTGGGGATGTACTTACGATTTGCAAGATAGTGATGTACTTCTTCCACCACAAATATTTTTGTACCTTGGGACCCATGGCCGACAACAAGTAATAGGCATACATAATTATGTGGATGAAGGAGTTGATGAATCCGAGTAAAGTACCATGTCCGCCTGCAAAAAGTATGTGTAAGTAGGAATATGGAATAATTTCCATAACGAATTACCTGCAAAATATTTAACACCAATGAAGGCACACACTGGCATCAAAGTGTGATGGTACAAGTGAAGGAATGAGATTTGGCGATCCTTCTTTCTCAATACAAAGAACACTGTGTCCAAGAGTTCGGTAATCTTTGCAATATAGTACAGCCATACTGCACGGGCCATCTGAAATAGAATTTGCCAATTAAATGCGTGTTCAAATTTCTAGGCGTGCATAACCTACTCTCATTGAAATTGGATCGGTGGCATATAGTACGGGTTGGCATCTGAAGTTGTAATGACCGCCCCATCCTCCCTTGTAACCCTGTAATGAAATTGAGCATTTAAGTTGCCGTTCTTGCCTTCTGACGAACATCGTCATATCGATATCAAGCACTTACCTCATAGAAAAGTACCCAGCTTAGCACTACTTGGATAGCGTTGTAGACCAGTAGGGTGTTTTTCAATTCGAATGGTTTACGATCGCGCATCCACCTCGGACCAGCATACAAACAGAAATATAAATAGACGGCCAAAATGGTAAACAGAGGGCCGGGAGCATTAGAAAGGAACCAGTTTTTCGTTCGCAGATCTTCATGTTCCACAAAGAAATTCACCAGTCTATCAACGACTGTGTTTGTTTCATTTATACTTAAAGTAACGGTGGACATTGCTGTTTTTATGATTATCTGAAATAAAAATGGCAATAACAAATCGATTAAAATCCTAGAAATAACTGCAAAGTTCCAAACCGAATCATTTTCTAAGGGATAACTCATAATAATTATGCCATGGGGATAAATATTACTGATCATTCGAAAGTATTAAATCATCTACAATTTTTCAGTGAGAATGCACTGCATTTCCTAACTCATTTCTATTAATCGTTTGAAATGTGTTCATACAAAATAATAAAACTAACTATTTTTAAAATATTCATGTAGAAAAAACTATTCGTCTAAATGCACTTATTGCAAATATTTTGTAATCTTATACTTCTGGTCCAAATAAATAGTTTCGAATAATATTTATATTGTATTCGATTCGCCGATATATGTATTTAAGTTTACGTGTGGGATTTCCTCGAGTGTATCGCAGTAACTAGCGTAACTCTTAGGTACCACTTCAACCATTCTCTATTCAGTTTTGCCCAATTTCACGACAGTCACAACCATCTATGCTTAATTGTGGCAAACGATTAAGGTGCCCGTGTTTGTTTGGAGGGAATGACTTTGCGATCGGTTCTATTCAGTGAACATGTGTTACAATGAATTGCAGAAAATTTCCGCAACAAAACATCATAGTGTGAAATTATATTCAACAGTAAAGTACGACTGGATGTGGGGGGCGCCGTTGCACAAATTGACTGGTAGGAAGGCATCACAATGTTAGCATTCAAGTAGGTTACTAGCCAGCGTGTACCCCAAATAACGCATCACTTTAGTTTTAGTTAATGGTAGTATAGCTATCTCCCAAAGTGATGTCGCTCGGGTAGAGAATACGTGTTGACATTGTAAATATTGCATAATAATTTTACAGTTGTTTAAGATCTATGTATATATATATATATATATTTATATTTTCCTCATGTGTATCTAATGTGGCCTTGTTCTTTGGTTGGGGTTCCGTGTACAATGCCACATTCATAAATTAATTTTTGTATCGGGGAAGGTGTCACGCATGATCCTTGGTTCTTGATATTTGCACATTTGTGTGTTGTGGCATGGATTGCAATGTCATGCTTCACAGACCCGGGGCAAAGGTTTCGATTGACTACTTCACATTGCATTGCAATGATGATATTTTGACCAAACTGTTTCGACGGTATTATTTTTCGCTTTCGAAATGAACTCTGGTTACCGTGAATGAAGTGACATTGTAACAGTTATTCGCCGTACAAATATATTTATATGTATCTATATACATATATGTACAAAAGTGTATGAAGAACCAACCAAAGAACTTGCAAAGATAATTGTGAGACATGCATTTGCTCGAATATGCAATGAACCAATATTAACACTACTTTAAGTTAAAAAACAACAACATTTAAAATAAAAAGCTGAGTCAGGAACGCTGCATTAAAGAATCCGAGCGATGATTTGCGTTTTCGCCAATGCGAACGACCCAGATTGATATCAAGTTATTTAAGAAATCGATAAAATGAAAATGGAAAATGTTAGTGATTAAAATAGCAGATTTTGAGAATAAAATACAAAATATTAAATCATGTTTTCGTGTAGAATTATTTTGAAAAATCACAAATTTGTTTTCTTTTGTTTTGATACAATTTTGTGATTATTGAAATATTAAAGAAATCAGGAATTATGAATTGATTAGCCATATTACATGTCCTGACAACTTTGCATTTAACTAAATTAACAATCTGGCGGCCATTGCATCTGGAAACAGAGAGTTCCGAAATGCATTGAAGTGAAAACGAATTGAAGAATGAATTGTGAAGGGAAGAATAATAATTTATTGCAAATCAATATAATTGCGCTCCATTAAAAATGTTCAACAAAAGCCGTTCTTAATATTTGCATCAAAACCGGTAAGATCCTCTATAGTGTATAGGTTGCTTTTTTAATTTGCATTCATTGTTCAAAGTCTGTTCTTGAATTCATTGGTTCATAATTTCGCCAAATATCTTGACGTAAATCACAAGTGGTAATATTCCATGATAACTAGAAAACGAACATTAAAAACAACCGAAGTAATCGAACGGGTACATCTGCCTTCAAAGCCAGTTTATAATGGAGATGCGAATCAATTTTATCCACTTTGGACTTTGAAATTTATATAATGGAATTATTGAAATATGTCTTTTTCCAGAAAGATTTTAGTAGCACAGCAGAAGAATGGTAACATAATGCCCGATTTCCGTCACACAGTCGCATTTATGAAGTGGAGAAATCGCTTAGGAAGAACGGCGACAGCACGTTTGTCTACTTTGCACAATCGTTAGTTTTGTATCTTTTGTTTCATTATCTATAAATATGTTTACCCATTTGCATATGGATGGATGTATATTAATAATTATGAAAGAAAAAGAAACCGCCATCCCGAGGGGAATGTTTTAAATGATTACTATGGCTTTCAGAGGATGTTGTTGTATAGATGTTTCCAGTAGACTGAATGTCTTCGGTGCGATGACCTTTCAACATTTGGCGAATAGAATTTCTGCGTGTTTCTTTATATTTTGAACATGGTCCGTCGTTAATGAGACTAATCGTGATAATTATTGTGGATCATTTAAAAAACAAAACAGCAGCAGAATGGGGATACAGATACATATTTATATATTCTTTCCTCCGACAGACAATTTTCCAATTCAAGATTTTTTAGTTTGATTAAAAATTCGTGAAAATTTATATTGTAATGGCCATACGCATTGCTTGAGACACAGGCATAGCCATTGATATCGTTGAGAGGCCGACGTCACCACTTGTCACTTTAGTAGAACGCGAAGTGTGGAATCCCAAATGTATTTTTCGTTCGCTAATTTCCGTGTGGCTACCGCCACTATGTCCAAATTTAAATTCCATACGCACATTCATTATGATCACGTCGTATACTTTGTTCTGTGGCCCAATGCGTGTTTTCATTAACTTTACGGTCTAAGGCACTAGACGCGCTTCATGCTCCCACAATTATGATGCTGACAATTTCCTATATTGCCGCACTTGTCTATGCGAAGCTCGTACGGCATGGCCAAAATGACTACAAATTTGGATGGTAGTTTTACTAGCAAAAAAAAAGCAAAACAAAAACAAATACGAAAATAACAAGATCAGCACATTCACAATAACAATGATTCACACCGATTAGTATTTGACCCGTAATGTCGGTTCGAGTTTTAATTTTGTCATTTGAGATGCCTTTAATAGCCAATTGAGTGGGCGAATTACACACAAGTTCATTGTCTCCTGCCAGTGTTTTGGATATTTGTTTGCCATAAATTATGAGCCGGAATTCTCTGGGATGGTTGCAGCAAAAATAAAAACATATTCTAAATGGAAAGTTTTAGCAATTATTAATCTTGTTTTGGTGAAAGATTCTGGTTCCAAAATTGTGAATTAACAGCAACATCAATTTGAAAAAGATTTCGTATATTCGAGAATTCATTTGACAAATTATTTCGAACTATGTAGTGGGAAGTTCTGCGATTATCTATAATATATTTTTTGCGAATGCCAATAGAAACTATTTGATAATACACACAAACCGCTCTGATGGTCTAAAGTCCATTGGAATTATTATGGTATTCCGGGTGGCTAGACAATACTGAAGTAAACATTTTAAAATATATTTTTAATCGTTAAGTGGACCTGTTGCTGCTCGAAGATGTCATAACCATTTGATTCTGTATTTTTACGTTTGTTCGTTTCGATCGTCGTTTAATCGGACATATCATCACTGCGAAATGGGTGACAATTGCCTCAGTTTAAGGGCACCACGACATTTCACTTTTCGAGCGGTCATAATTGTCGATCAGTCCGTCCACTATGCCCTCTGTGACATTCTATTGACCAATTGATTATACCAATAAAAGTAAAAATAGTGAATATTTTGATTTGCAAATTTGCATTAATGTTGAATAATTTGTGTTGAGATATTGCATAACACACTGACATAACGACAACAACTGTTTTTGCTGGACATTTGCAAAACACCAACTACTTTCGACGGGAGAAAGGCGGTGAGGTAGTTGTCGTAGGAATAAGGAATGAACGGGGCCGGTCTAAACTACACCGTCGACGAATGACGAGCGTTAAGATAAATCTGTCTAGAAGCCGATCTGCCACATACACAGGTTGCTTTCGATTGCAATTAATTTCCATAGCGATCGAATGTCTGCTTAGAATGTGTGACAAAATAAATATTATTTAAGGCATCTGTAGATGAGGGGCACACCCTTTGCCTTTGTGTCTTAAGTCTTTTGTTTCGGCATACGTAAACATCCAGAATTATACGCTCAGTAATGATTAATAATATTTTTGATTAACAATAATAACAACAATTTTTAATTATTTGCACTTTAAATAAATATACTTGTTTTTGTGCTTTATTGTGTGTGTATGTATCTGATCATCAGCATTCAAGTTTCTAGAGATATTAATTTTTTGCAAACAAAATCCTATTGATGGTTGCAGATTGTTTCAGCCATGGAAGTCCCGATTACATTTTCAACCATGTACACCTTCAATAGCATAGTTGTTATTATTTTTTATTTTTGCTTGATATTTCCATTTTATGACCATGTTGGCCTGGCGTTGAAAATAATTATAATAATATTTTAGGTGGTTTTGGTATGTTGTGGGCTGGGGCAGAGGGCAAATTAGGGTGTGTAGTTGGAGGATGATGACTGCATAACGTGAAGCACATGAGTGACAAAAATTCACGCTTGCGTGCTCCGAAGCTACACAAGTGTAACGCCTGAGGAAGTAATTAATAATTATTTAGTACTTATTAATACCAACAAGATGGTCCCGAAATCTCGTCATGAATTTAATTACACTAAGTTTTCACTTTTCTATGGGACGGACAAATTTTAACGTCTGTGAAATATATGTATGTATATCAAGAATTACGTTAATTATTGACAATTAAGATTGTAATTGCTTAGAGTGGTCCGACTAAGGAAGAAACATAATTCAACTTGGAATTAT